GATGAAATGTAATTGAACCAAACCTCAAGGGGGTCAATGTAATTTACCATTTTTTGTAAAAAGTTAAAAAATACACTTATTTAGATCATCTCAGACAATCCCATAAAGTAAAAAACTTGTTTTGATATGAGCTACTCCTATTCTTTTATCAAATTTTCATCAAAATCTTTTTAAAAGATCCCAAAATTCTATTTTCATCAAATTTAATGAAAAAAAAACAAAAAAAAAATCATTCCCGTCCCCAAATTCTATGCAACCAGACATAGAATGGGGTAGATCTATGGGCATTTACCAAAAATTACAGCCGTGCTGGGGACCCCCAGTTGGGGTGACCCCCAGCACCCCCACTCCACGTGGGAGGCTGTGGACCAAGTAAAAATAAAAAAAAAAAAAATTCAACCAATCACGTGCTGCCACATCAGCTGGGATCACTGGGGGTCTTCAAAATTGGGGGTGCAAATCATTTTTCTTTTGGTGACAGATGGCCTCAAAAATAGATTATTTTAATAATTATTTAATTTTTTATAAAAAATATAAAAAAATAAAAAATAATAATAATGTGATAATTTTTAAATTTTTTAATTAAAATATTTAACACCAAATGAGAACAGATAGCTCCAATACACACACAAGTAAAAAAAGAACCCCTACCAGATAGCTCCAATATACGCACAAGTAAAAAAAAAAAAAATAAAGAACCCCTTAAATTCCTATCTTAAGGCTTTCTGTTTCCCTCATGTCTGCCACAACCACCAACCAAACCAAAAAAGTTTCACGGACCCTGTCAAAACCCATCTCTCTTGTGTCTTGAGACTGGAGCCTTGACTCCTTTCTCTTTCCTTTCCAAACTCCCCGAAAGGAGGGATAGATATATACCAGAAGAAAAGCGACGGAGAGCCCTGCTCGTTTTTATGGTGGACCAACAACATACACTTGATGTCTTCATTTCACAACAATGTCAATGTGAACTCAGCAACCTTTTTTAGTCAGGCTCCGGCTACCTATTTTCACCATTTTTCTTTCCTCCAACACAGAGTATTGTTACTGTCCAGAGTCCCATCTTCTGTACTAGCTTCAGCTTATATACATATATATACATATATTAAAAAAGAAAGAAAGGCTTACTTTTCTTTTAGGCCGCCGCAAGCAATCCTCTAGTCTATCAATCCCCACCACCATTACCAAAAGCGAAAGGGAGGGGGGTAAAGGAGAAAGGAAAATAAAGAAGAATAGAAAGGAAGGGACTTGAGCAAGAGAGAAGAATCCCCCACCCACCCATTCCACAGATATTGATGGGTGCCCTCCTCGTCCTCCGCCTGCAGCCCACAATACTTATCTACTTCATTCTCCTTCATGCATCCAACAGCAACACGACTGCTACTGCTACTGCTACTGCTCCTCCTCCTCCTGCCGCCCAAGATGGTGTATGGAAGTCTGCTACGGCAACATACTTCAAAGAAACAGATGCCTCCATCATCACCGGTAACCCCCCCCTACTAGTTTTGTCTTTTGCCACATCCAGTCTTGCTCTTTCACTTTCTTATACACACAAGTGTATTATGCCTGTTTTGCTTTCTGCATGAAGAAGATTCAAGAGTGTATTGTTTTTCATTTTATTGCAGAAGGGGCTTGTGGATATGGGGACCTTCACAAAAGCAAAAGTATCTATGGAATTACGTACAGTTCGGGGCTAAGTAGTATGTTATTCAACAGAGGGAGTACCTGCGGTGGTTGCTTCGAGGTGAGATGTGTCGACCACATTCTGTGGTGCCTCCAGGGAAGCCCATCCATCACTCTTACTGCCACTGACTTCTGCCCACCAAATTATGGGCTTCCAGCTGATTATGGTGGCTGGTGCAATTTCCCCCGAGCACACTTTGAGATCTCAGAGGCCGCCTTTGCCGAAATTGCAGATATCACAAGAAGAGCTGATATAGTTCCCATTCAGTATAGAAGGTAGGTAACAAATTAAATTGAAGTAATAATATTAATCACTTTGCTAGCTAGCTGGTTGTTTCCATTCGGTAGGCCTTTAAATTGATCGGATTCGGATCGGATCTGTCAAAATCTAAATCCGATCCAAATCGATTTAGACCATATCTGATTATAGATATTTGAATCCGGTGCCGATGATTTCAGATATCCGATCCAATAATCCAATCTATTTATTTATTTATTGAGTTACAATTTGATATAATTTGAATTTTTTTTTTTTTCATTTTATGTTTTCTTATTCAAATTGAGAATAATCGGATCGGATCAAATTTTTGCATATTCAATCCGTTTAATAAACGGATTCAGATTATCGGATTCGGAAATGGATTTGGATTTTCGGATCGGATTCGAATTAAATCCGATCCACTGACAACCCTACATCGCGGGTTGACACAAATTATATGTTGACAACATTATATATATATATATTAATTTTGTGTACAGGGTCAAGTGTGAGAGAAATGGGGGGATGAGGTTTACAGTGTACGGGACTTCATTCTTCTATCAAGTCCTAATCACTAATGTAGGATCAGACGGCCAAGTAGTTGCAGTCAAAGTGAAGGGATCAAAGACAGGGTGGATACCCATGGGAAGGAACTGGGGACAAAACTGGCAGTGCGATATCAACCTTACTGGACAGCCTCTGTCATTCGAGGTCACCACTAGCAGTCAAAGAAGCATAACCTCCTACAATGTTGCTCCGGCAAACTGGAGATTCGGTCAGACATTTGAAGGAAAACAGTTCTAGATCAATGGGAAAGCTAATATATTTACCTATATACATATATATTTTTAAAGTCAGTCACAGGTAATCAAGACAATGATAAAGGTATGCACAAATTGTAGCGTTTACCTTCTAGTCACTCACTTTTCCAGGCATTCATTCCATGGGTCAAAAGGTAGATATCGATGGAGAAAATTTGGAAAAGAAAAGTTGAAGAAATTGCAATTGTAGGTCCCAAAATGGCCACTTTTTCATATACCAAGAAGAAATAGGATATACATGTTGACAATGGAATGCATAATTATTGAATGAGCGTGTATGTTTCCCACCATTTACGTCATTTAAATTTTAAACCTTAAGATCTAACTTTGTCAGCCATAGCCATAGCCAAAGCCTCCCGAGGAGGCAGTCTATCCCAAAATTGATTATCAGAGGGAAATGACTACCAATTTAGTAGTAGTTATATATAAATCATCGATCGATTATGCAAGTCATTGGAGGGAAATGACTACCAATTTAGTAGTAGTCCAAATATAAATCACTGATCGATTATGTAAGTCAGCATCTAATATGGCTCTATAAGAAATGTAATAGAAAACACATCTAATGTGGCTCTCAAAGTGTAGTACATATGGTGATATCTTTTTTTCTCAAACCAGGTGCACAGGAGTGTGCTTCACACAACGTGATTACAATAGTGGTGAGCCCATGATGTTGTGAAATATTGTCATACTTCTACAGAAGTGATTACAATGCCAGTGGTGAGCCCATGACGTTGTGAAATATTGTCATACTTCTACAGATGTATGAATATATCCAGATGATGTATGCATTGTATACGGAACTCTTAACATAAGGATGAATGTAGCCAGCAATTAAATTTTGTTGAGAGACATGAATAAGTGGCAGATTAGGCTTGGTTAATGGATATATATACCTTTTGACATTCCAATTCTTATAAATGCGCTAAAAATATGTTGTCTCGTGGGTAGAGTGATTTGATGAGAGCATGGAGAATATTACAAACATCAATGAATCTAAAGGGATTGCTTTGATAACATCACCATACGTAGCACATCTGGGTACATTTGTTGTATATTGTCTATACAAAGTAGAATTTTTTTTTTTGTTTTTTAGGATAAATATATACGAAGTATAAATTTTTGTTGGTGATACTGATTAGTATTATAGTCACATTGCTTCTGGGATTGGAGGATCAAATACAGAACTGTTGAACGACTTTGACGAAAGGGTTTAACTTGTGAGACAAAAGATTTTATAAATCCATCACGGTAGTGCTCTGGTAACAATGCCATAAATGTGAATGTATTTAATTACCACTGCGTGATGTGACTTTTATTCTCATGCCAACTATGATGGAAAATGGATCAGGCATTTTTTATAAAAGAACTGGTGCAACTTTTAGTTTAATTTCCAATTACAATAGCAAAAGCACTTAAAATAATAAACTAAAAACCAGATACAGGTATGCCGGTATCTCAACTAAGAACACAAAGTGAACTTATCAACTTATGCAAAAACCAAACAGGGGTATACAAAAATACGAAGGCTATTTGGAATAAGAACACAAGTGTTACAACTTACTATACAACATTAACATTATGCGTAAAATGAACTCATGATGCAGCTTCTCTTTTATACTTTGTAAGGCTTTTTTGTCAGACACTATAATGCAGATTACCTTAATTGGCAAGTTAGCAAACAGCACTTCCACAATAGAGACAGTATTGAGGAAATTAAGTTTCCAGTAGCTTTGTTCAACAAGTATGCTGCTATGTTTGTATCAGAAACGTGCACAAAGATACTTGTTATTGAAAGAACCATTCACCCAAGGACACCCAAGCTTCAATGTTTGTGCTTCTGAGGAACTTCAACATGAAAACTATAGAACGTGCATGAAATTTATGTGGATTCCACTTGACAATGTTATATGTCCCTGTGACACCAATGCACGGAAGCTATGCAGTGACAATTGGAGCTAACATGAAAGCAACTCTATGGTCGTGTTTGGATATTGGATTTGTGAACAGAAAAGAAGAAAAGAGATTTACGAATGAAATAACACCCCCCCCAAAAATTTCTCCCCTTTTCTCATCTCTTCTCAAATCAAATATTCAAACACCACCTATATGTTCATGACGCCCATCGAAATGAAACATGAGATTATAGCAATATAATCTGGGCGAAAAAAAATCAATTAAAGGTCAATCAAATATTGATGTCATTCAATGGTTAAATATTTTAAATTGTAGCGAAGGAAAACTTACTTTCATGGAGTCCTATGAATATCTTACTTGCAAATATTTCAACACCTGAAACTGCTGAAAGAACTGAAAAAAGAAACATGCAAATATCTTAGTTGCAAAAGTGAGTTGTCACCTTCAGATATCCATTTGACTTGAATTGCATTAGAAGAGCTAAAGTTCAGGAATCAAACAAAAAATATATATATCAATCATAGAATTCATATATAACGCACATCTTTCAGACAGGTACGCAGACAGAATTTCACTTTTGCACCCTAAAAAAAAGAGTTCTAGGTTATCCAAATATTGAAACCACAGACACAGAGTTAATGCGATTGCTGCCAATGTCAAATTCAGCTTGTTAAAATTCAATGTATAAAGAGAATTGTATTATTGATTCATGTATGTTATATATTACAAATGGTGAGCGGCTCCTTATATAGGAGATGTAGTGGAGTAGGTGGTAGTAGGTGGTTATATACACAGCAGGACCAGCATTAACAACAGCATCAGCCGGTGCCTGACCCATTCGCAGTGTCATGGTTGTGCGGCCAAGCTCAAGCATCAAAGCACCTAAATCTCGAAAAAGACCTGCAGATCGTAAAGTGAAGGTATGTGAAGAAGAGTGAAGGTATGTGTAGAAAATTCTAGCGGACTAGGTTGAGGTCTGGCGGGCAGCTAAGGTGAGGTTGCCGCCCGCCGGGGAATCGAAAATATTAGGTTCTAAACTTGCTTTGATACCATGTTAATACAATTTTCGATCAAGATTCTTTAGTTATGTGATATTATATTGCATCTTTTCGGACTAAGAAAACATTCTTTTTCCATACTCCAAGTTATTCAAAGTTCAGTCACACTAGTCAAATGAGTTGACTTTTTGCTTTGGGACCTCTCAAAGAACCTTTTAGATTTATTTATTTTTTACATTATTATTTTATATAAAGAGCAACGCTAAGGATCCTAAGAAAAGTACCAAATTTTTTACCAAACACTCACATGGGTGTGGGACCCACATGAGATGTATTAGTTGAATTTGACATTGGCAACAATTGCATCAACGGTGTGTTTGTGGTTTCAATATTTGATCGTGTTGGCTGCGATTCAACTAAATTTCTTGTTTATATACTAGCATTTTCTAATTCTATGTTAGTTTGACAATCTATCCAACCATAAGTTCACAATTCACAATCTATCCTACGATAAAACCCTAAATACATATGTCATGTTTATATTTCATGTTAGTCATCTTATATAGGTTATGTTAGTCATCCGAGTGTTAATAAACTACTTACACCCAGAACAAGAAACTAGATTTTGCAAAATTCATCATATATTGTTGTCCAAGAAACTTAGAAAATATACTAATTCACAAGTGAGGGCGCATATCTAGAGGTTGAAAACCCCATATACCTTGGACAGCACAATACACTAGAATTGTACAAAACAATACACTCAAGGCACTTTCTTCACACACTACATAATCAAGACACTATTCACACTTAGACTCCTTCACACCTGCACACACTCTTGCAGACACTTGATTACAGCACTCACATCACTATTATTTCACTCAACTCCTAGTACATGAGCTCATCTCATATTTATAGCAGTTAAAGAAATTTCTAGAATAGTACATATTAGAGTTTTTATACTTCTCTAAAATATTCTAGGACCTTCGGGATTTCTCTAGATTTCTTTAAACTTCTCAAATGTTCCAGAACCTTCTACAATGTTCTAGAATCTTTTGAATTTCTCTAGGTCTTTCCGGAGTCTTCTAGATTCATTTGGAAACTTCTAGAATATACTAGAGAGAAGATTCTACAGAGTAACGAGAATTAGTGATAACTCTCAACAATCTTGCATCTTTTCGGACTAAGAAAATATTCAACTAACATATTCTTGATCGAAAATTTAGTGGTTTCAAATATTGAAACCACAAACACACAGTTAATGCAATTACTGCCAATGTCAAATTTAGTTAATACAATTTTCGATCAAGATTCTTTAGTTACGTGATATTATCTTGCATCTTTCGGACTGAGAAAATATTCTTTCTCCGTACTCCAAGTTATTCAAAGTTCAGTCACACTAGTCCATTGAGTTGACCTCTTGCTTTGGAACCTCTCAAAGAACCTTTTAGATTATTATTTGTTTTTTTTTAACATTATTATTTTATATAAAGAGCAATGCTACGGACCCCAAGAAAACTACCAACTTTTTTACCAAACACTCACATGAGTGATGAAGAATATAAGAAGCTCGAGAAAGAGTAAATTCAAAAAAGCGGCGATATTTGAAAATTGGAATGATTTCAAAGAGAAATCGATAGGAACCATACATAATCATGTTTCTAATATTATTATAGTTCTATTTTATGATTATTTTTATGTTTTCTAGGGTTTTCAGGTGAGGGTATTTTGGTAATTTTATATTTGACATGGGTGGTGTGGGTCGTCCATGGGTCGTCGTGTGGGTCAAGTTATTTAATTAGGTTTTATTTATGTTTCTCATTTAGTCTTAAATTAGTTTTAGAAATCAAATATATTATAATAGTTTCTTTTTTTAGTTATAGTTGGTTTAAAAAGTCTCCTACCTATATAAAGTCATGTAATACTTATAATTCAATAGAATTGACATTTTATAAAAAATTGAGAGCTTCGAAGCTTCTTCATGAATTGTGTGATGCAATCAAACCCTAGGTGTGATACCTATGGAATCTAGGAGTGATTTCCAAATCTATCTTTTTCTTTTTCTTTTCTTTTTCTTTCTTTCTTTAATTCCTACAGCCTGTTCACAGCACCCTAAACAGTGTAAAACCCACAAAAAGTCTGTTTTACAGTCCTTATAACCTTGTCCCTAATCGTCTTGCATCAGTTTGGTATCAAAACAAAAGATCATAATATTAGAGCAAGTTATAAAACATGTCAATCCGTTGTGGAAGGTTTTTAGTCGTAGGGATATTTTCTAAGAACCAAAGGGGTCAAGTTCTTTTAAAAATTGTGAAACAACTTGACAATTTTAGTCAACGACTTAATGCTTTGGAGAGCCAACCAACTCAGGACAAGTCGATAAACACTCAAATTATCAAGGATAAAGAGAGTTTGATTGATGAATCAAAATCATCCCAAACAGCATCAAGGTTGAAGAAGGTTTTTACTCACAACTCTTTGTGTTCCAAGGTAGAATTAGAGGACTAAGATCAAAATCTGCCCAAGGTGGAAGATGACCAGATTTTCAAGGTTGGTGAGGCCCTAATTCATGATTCAAAAGCGCCCCAACAAGTTCCGATTATTATTCCCAGAGAGACTAAAGTCCAAAGCAATGAATTGGATGCAACAACAATTGTAAGGACTCAAGAACTAAAGCCACCAACTATAAGTCCTGAGCCAAAAGGGCCTTTGAAGTCAGAGATTGAAAAGTTGTTATCAGAATTCTCTAATTTAGTGCCAATACAGTCCTATGATGAGGCCCCACCCATGCATAACATCGAGCATACTTCAGGTCATATACAAGAGTTTAAATTGCTTAACCTTGCAACATATGAGTCAAATTTAAATCAATATATCATGTCCCACTTAGTGACAAGTCATGATTCCATTGAAGAAAAGGGCAAGGTTGAATCACGTGATGACATTTTGTTCGAAGGACAATGTAAGAACATGGAGGCCAAAATGGCAGATATGACAGGAAGTATTCGAATCGAGCAAAATCAAAGCGTCATCAATCCAAAAGATATTAGGATGCATGGGAAAAATTTTGCAACACAAGGTATAGACCAATTCAAGGATGTATCTCTTTCTTCTGTTGATTTTATCATTCCGGAGAAGTTCAACTTTACAATTGAAAGTAGCTCATTGTTCTCCTTACCACCCCCAATGGAGAAGAAAAGGTGATGTCAACTTAAACATTTTTATATGAAGACTTGGGTGCGATTCCGATGCTTTTGGATTCTTATACTTCAACACTTTAAAACTCGAGGTCGAGTTTTTTCCAACCCAAAGAGAATGATGAAGAATATAAGAAGCTCGAGGAAGAGTAAATTCAAAGAAGCGGCGATATTTGGAAATTAGAATGGTTTCAAAGAGAAATCGATAGGAACCATACATAATCATGTTTCTAATATTATTATAATTCTATTTTATGATTATTTTTATGTTTTCTAGAATTTTTAGGTGAGGGGTATTTTAGTAATTTTATATTTACTGGCATGGGTTGTATGGGTCGTCCATAGGTCGTCGTGTGGGTCAAGTTATTTAATTAGGTTTTATTTATGTTTCTTATTGGGGGCGAATTACACTAACGGTCCCTATAGTATGGGGGTTGTGTCACTTTAGTCCATGATTTTTCAATTGTGATACATTTAATCCTGAATTTTGAATCTTGTTCCAAATAAAGACAATTGAAGATACTATTACTTAATTTCAAGGGCAAAATCATCAATTTGATAAAATATAAATTAATTTAAAAAATAAATGTCAAAAAATATTTTGAATTTTTAAAATTATTTCTACCTACTAAAGATAAAATTATGTAAAATTGATAAATCTTTTAGAAATTTATTTATTTATTTATTTATATCAAATTAATTTTTATTATATATTTGGATGATGATCATGTAATGGGTGGTTGTTTTTATTTTCATTAAATTAGTTTCTATTTTTTTAAAAGTCAAATATGGTGACAACTTTGATATCATTATTAAACCAATCCATTAAATCAAAAAATCTAAAACTAAAAACATTTCATATATCAAATATACTAATTACACATGAAAATCCTAAAAACCACCCATTACATGATTATCATCCAAATACATAATAAAAATTAACTTGGTAAAAATAAATAAATAAATAAATGTCTAAAAAATTTATCAATTTTATCTTTGGTGGGTAGAAATAATTTTTAAAAATTAAAAAATATTTTTTTGATATTTATTTTTGTCAAATTAGTTTAAATTTTATCAAATTGATGATTTTACCCTTAAAATTAAGCAATGATATCTTCAATTGTCCTTATTTGAAACAAGATTCAAAATTTATGGTCAAACGTGTCACAATTGAAAAGTCAGGAACCAAAGCGACATGAACCCCAAAGTATAAGGACTGTTAGTGTAATTCGCCCTTCTTATTTAGTCTTAAATTAGTTTTAGAAATCAAATATATTATAATAGTTTCCTTTTTTGGTTATAGTTGGTTTAGAAAGTCTCCTAATTCTATAAAAAGCCATGTCATAGTGCTTATAATTCAATAGAGTTGATATTTAATAAAAATTTGAGAGCTTCGAAGATTTTTTATGGATTGTGTGATGCAATCAAACCCTATGTGTGATGCCTATGGAATCTAAGAGTGATGCCTATGGAATCTAAGAGTGATTCCTAAATCTATCTTTTTCTTTTCTTTTCTTTTTCTTTCTTTCTTCAATTCCTGCAGCCTGTTCATAGCACCCTAAAACAGCCCCTAAATAGTGTAAAATCCACAGAAAGTCTGTTTTACAGTCCTTACAGCCTTGTCCCTAATCATCCTGCATCAATGGGTCTCTAACATTTTTCTTATATAAAATGCGAGTATGGAGGATGCAAACCATGCCAAGGTACATGGGGTTTTCAACCTCCAAATATGCACCATCACTTGTGAATTAGTTTATTTTCTAAGTTTCTTGGACGCCAATATATGATGAATTTTGTAAAATCTAGTTTCTTGTTCTGGGTGTAAGTAGTTTATTAACACTCAAATGACTAACATGACCTATAACATGACATATGTATTTAAGGTTTTGTCGTAGGGTAGATTGTGAATTGTGAACTTATGGTTGGATAGATTGTCAAACTAACATAGAATTAGAAAAGGCTAGTATATAAACAAGAAATTTAGTTGAATCATAGCGAAAACGATCACATAAAGCTTCCACTATGAAGGCTATAGCGAATGTAGATGCTTCAGAGTTATGGTATCGGTGATACGCATGACACACTTTTTTTTATAGGTACAATGGCACACTATATTTAGAATCAAAAGGTTTAAAAAATGTTTGGATTAGTCTTCTGAATTGGATGATAGATCGCACTTTGAAAACATTGTTGGTAGCCTAGCAATTCATAACAATAACAATGACTATGATGATAATCAAAACTGCTCTCAATTCAAAACTTGGACTTAACCTAAATCCCATTCAAACTTGGACATATCAAATTTTAAAAGATGTTGGATTAGTTTTCTGAATTGGATGATAGAACGCACTTTGAAAACATTGTTAGTAACCTAGCAATTCATAACAATAATAATGATTATGATGATATCAAATCCCACCCCATCTTCATACTGAGTCAAGGCCCTTCTAACCTTGGATATATCCATGTAGCTTTACTCTAATGCTCTTCATATTGGACCCTCTGTATTGATATTGTAACTCCTGGTCCATATAGTAATGTGCGTGGTGTCCTTGTTGTTGCCAAATACCATGGCATGCTGCCAGGGAACAAATTATGAGTTGGTCCAGAAACGAAAAGGAAAAATGCATGTGAATCACAGTTCCAATCAATTTTTACAAATCCCATTATCTAAAACTCAACCATGAGTCTGTCAAAATCAAGTATTTTCTCACTCTAAACATATATAATGTATTAAAAAAATTACCAAAAGAAGTTTCCCCAAACACACCCATAATCCAAGTTCTAAAGCATTCTAGTTTTTCAAGATAGGCAGTGGTTGGAATTCATTTTACAGGTGGAGCATATTAAAAACGACCGACAATGTAATCTATCATTACACATATCATTTCTCATTGCAATATATTACTTCAAATCCAGCAGAGTATGTAAAATAGAATATCACAATGCTATTACTGTAGTTACAAATAGAAAATAAGGCCTTGTTTGTCATCTCTTAAAAAAAGTCAAAAAGCCACTATCTTATTTAAGTCACATCATCTTATTTAAGTCACTTCACCTCTCTACCACGTCACTTCAAATCCAACCCATATTTTATAAAAAGTTAAAAAATACACTTATTTAGAACATCCCAAACAACCCTTAAATGTCAAAGCTTAATACTTAGCTATTCTATTGTATTAGCTAAGCCCTATGTAATATTGAGGGTATGTTTGGGAAGTGGCTTTTTTAGTGACTTTTTGACTAAAATATGACGTGAAAAAAAACTGAAGTGTTTAGAAATGACTTTTTGACTTTTTACGAAAATATATGCAAAAAGTAGAGAGAATGGAAAGGAATATTTGACTTTTTTGTATGATTTTTTAGCTTTTTGACGTTTTGGCTTTTTTAGTGGCGTTTTGGTTTTTTAGCTAATTTTGTCCCTTCCCAAATATAGAATTTAACCTTTGATTGCATATATATATAGTTGATGAGATTTGAACTTTGACATCCGATCTACAATAACTCTCATACATAGCACTCAACTCAAAACACCAATTCCTTAAATTGCATGTCAAGATAGGCAAACCTACATATAACTCCTCCTTCTTCTTCTGTTTCTCTCGATTTTTTTTTTCTTTTTTCTTTTTGGGTCAGGAGAAAGAGGGAAAATCAGAAAAATAGGGATGAGAAGCTGCATTTGCTGCATCGAATCCAAGCTTTATGCTTGGTAAAGAGTGCCTCTACTACCAGGCACCTACATATAACTCAAGAGAAGTTATTTTGAATATCTTTTTAATATTCTCATATCAATCTTTTTTTGTATAGTTTTTTAAAATTGTTATCAATTGGATCAAATTGACACAATATGAAAAAATTAAAAGAAAAAATTAATGCAATTGAAAAACTACACGAGCTAAATTGATTCAAAAGCAAACAGTAGAGATCACTAGTATAATTTGTCCTAAAAATTAAAACAATCCAAGAAAACTTTGAAAGTCCCACTTAATTTCCAGAGACTCATGACCTTTGTACAACCTAGTCACCCAACATGGCCCATCCCAACCTTATTCACAATGCAAAAAGGTTACAAAAAAGAAAAAAGAAGAAAGAAAGATTATCTATGAAAAAAAAAGATTCAAACCGTAAAAACAATAAAAGTAGTCAATAAAAGAAATTTTTTTCCCTATTCGTTGGGACTTATTATATGAAAATTTTTCATTGGCTGACTGGTAATGATCGTATCATTCAAGGCTATATATTGTACATAGTTTTGGTCACATCATGTGGCTCATTAAGAAAAATGTTAGGACCATCCTCACTTTCTTTGCCACAAAATTCACAATTTTTCATGAACCATAATATATATATATATATATTCTGTTAAGTGATCTCATAGAAGAAATAATAAACCATTATTTGGTGATATACATACATATGACCCAAGATTGCAATGAGTTTGTGTCCTTGACATAAATCAGTAGCCACTAACATATAACAGATGAAATTTACTAATTTCTACACTAGGACCTCATACATTCAAAAATCACAAACTCCGTAACAGATAAACTTGGGGGAAGAGGGAGAGAGAGCAAATACCTGGGTGAGATGGCATGGCGATGCAGACACAGAGGAAGACAGTGATGCTCCAATAGCAAGACAAAGAGACAGTGACTTTGCCCAATCAATCCTTCTTCCACTGCGAACAATTTAAAATTTACATAAAAATTATATACGAAAAACAAACCCCACAGCGAATTGGGGGACGAGGGAGACAAAAGAAATACCTGATACCTGGGTGAGATGGCGATGGCGATGCACACTAGAGGAAGGCAATGGTGTGCGATGCACACATAGAGGAAGACAGTGGTGCTCCAATGGCGAGACAGAGACTGACTTTGCCCAAATTCTTCTTCCTCGGAGACCTTGTGTTATCCCCTCAAACCCCTGGGCTTGTTTCTCTGCACGGGCTAAATATATTTATTTTAAAATATTTTTTTATAAAATTTAGTTCAATTATTTATATTTTTAAATATATAAAATATTTAAAATAATTGTTAAATTGTAGAAAAAAATAAATAATAATTTAAAATTTAAATAATGATTCTAATTATTTATTATAATAATTTTAGTTATATCGTTTCATAAACATGTTATTTAAATCAACACATATACTAATTTTTAATAAATTATTTATATGTATTTTAATAATTTTATCTCTATCGTGTTATAAAAATGTTATTTACATAACTATATATATAATAAATTTTAGAAAGATGATAAATAATTTTAATAGTTAGTTTTATTTTTTTTTTAAAAAAGTAAAGAAGATTCAAAAAATTAAGCTAAACATTTTTTTGGTTTCAAATTTTTTAAAAGTTTTTTTTAATTTTAAAAAGTAGAAGTATTTTAAATATTAAAATTTAAAAAGAATTTTGATAGGGGTATATTGAGCTAGAATTTTAATTAAACGACAAAAAGGGAGATGCACCATATAAGGAAAGAAAAAAAAGTTAAAGGTAAATAGTATTTTTTATTTATTTTGATAACCTTAATCCTATAGTTTTATAAAAGTGTTATTTAAATCAATGATTAAGGTTAAAATGTACATCATTGAGATTGTTAATTAGAATCTCTTAATTTCACTTGCTGGTCAAACCGTATACTTTATGTGTGTTGAATGTCAATCAGGTTGTACATAGTCAGAGTATAAAATGGGCAAACATGCAGAATTTGGAGAGAGTTGACTTTCTTGCACGTGCGTTGACTTTTTCTAGGAAAGTCATCCTGACATTTTAAACCTGTTTGGACGAGATTAGAAGGATAAAAATGCAAGGAAAAGGCTTTTCTAGGGGTTCTGAACTTGCTTTGACCTAAAGAGAGAGGCAAGGGTTTGGAAGGGAAGATAAACTAAAAGCTTAAAGGATGTCTCCCATAGTGGTTCCTTCTCTATCTACCTCCTTCCACTCCTCCATGAGTGGCTAGTCTCATTTTTTAGGGTTTTGATGAAACCCTAGCCATGTAATTATTTTGTTTTCTTTTTTATTTTTAATTATGTAAAGGCTTGAACATTTGTATGGTGATTTAGAAGTTTCTTTTATATATGTTTCATTATTTCTTCGAATATTTGATTTTCTATGATTGTTGAATGTTATCTATACATGAGTTTTGTATTCCTTCACATTCATGGTACGAGACGAACCATGCTATGAGGAACGAGTCGTATCAGTACCTTAGTTTAGAGTGAACGATTCATATTACTTGAGATGGTTCGTACTCGTACATTGAATGTGATGATCTTCTTGTTAAATGCTTTAAGCTTGTAGTTGCGAAACATTAATCCGTTCAAACCATAGCATAATTTATTTCAATTGGAAACCCTAATTACGTGGCTAGTGGTGGACTCTTTGCCCTAGTTTTTTTTCCCCCAATTCAGTAAACCCAATTTCATTTATTATTGATAATTTAATTCCTTAGATTAATTTATTTGCTATTAATTTAGGCTATGAACAATCAATCTTTTTATCAAAATTAATTTAGGAATTTAACAATTAAATTAGTTTAATTTCACAATTATCCCTGTGGATCGATACCTGCACTTGCCATTATTCTAAAAAAATTTGGTGTAGTTTAGGGTTTATTTTTTGTGTGTTCAACGACCCATCAATCAATACATAATAATTTTATATAAATTATTTGTGTATATTTTAATAATTTTAACTCTAACGTACTATAAAAATATAAATATATATGTATATATAATAATTTTAAATTATTACACAATGTGGAGAAGTGGTTTGGAAATACTCTTCTGATCTTGGGAGACGCTAGTGATCCTCTAACAGTCACCTAAAAAGGAATAAACACTCCGGTCGAGGGTGTCCGAATTAGCACTCCGACGGGCAAGTTAGTTTCTGCACTCAGGATTACTTGTATTCTAAGTTAAGCACAATAATTCTCACATACCTTTCTTTGACTGTTGTTCCTCTATTTATACTCGTTTCCAGGGCCTCGGGGCCTGGTCCACTTTCCGCTCTCAAACTACTTATTTATTCGGCCCCATAGTTACTCGACCTGTTAATTGTAGTCGGGCTCCTAATCGTGCAGGTTAGAGCCGAACAAATGTCCATCCTTCGAAGTGTACGCTTCTGACTCTACCCTTTATTCGGCTCCCACAATTGCCTCCCAAACTCCCCATTGACGGCAGTTAATTGGTGTGTTTGGTTTCGAATTTGAAAAGTCAAGAGAAACATAAATTAGGCGGCTTCACCTATCCCAATGTGTATGTCAGAACACAGACCTTTCGGTCATCATTATACGTTCCCTCCTCATTCGTGCATCTTTTGCATTTATTACGATTTGAAACTCCAGTCTCTTCGAATGCATACTTTTTGAATATTAGGGCCTCTTGGATTGCCAGTCGGAATTCCTCCTCTACCTCGCATCTTCTGCAACTTCTTCCCGTCTCTCCGTGTCTCCTTTGCCTCTCGTAAGTTTTCTTCTCCTCTTTGTAATTCTATTTTTTGTGTTCATTTTTTATTTAGAATACCCGAATCCTTACTAAAATGGCTAAGAATTTGAAAGACCTCAATTCTGAGGGTCGTATCTCTGGGTTCCAGAGACATTTCTCTATCCCTGATGATGTCCATATATCTCTAGTGACGAACAATACCCTTGATATGGAGAGGGAGGACCAAAATACCATTGTTTTTCCTCTCCTATCCATTGCGGAGGGCGGGGTTCGCTTTCCTTTGCACCCATTTCTTAGGGTCGTCTTCCGTCATTGGGGTCTGATTCCTTTTCAACCCAATGTGAATTTATTTCGAATCATAATGGGAATCGTAGAACTGAACCGGCGCCTTAGGATCAACCTTGGTATTCCGCCGATTCGGCACTACTACGCTTTAGCCAAATCCTCTATTCTCAGGGCCAAAGGCACCGACCATCACTTGGTAACCATGCTTGCTAGTTCTGGCAAACGAGTTGACGATGTCATGGTCAACGTCCGCGCCAACTGAGAATTCGGCGAAGGCGAAGATCGCCTAGACCCTGTTCCCAGAAAGAGGGGTGAACTAGGTGGCCGAGTAACTCCTTATGTTTGTTGATCTTTCTTTTACTCAGCTTTCTCTTCAAGTCTAATCCTTCGTTTTTGCAGGCAGTAAGTTGAAGAAGATTCAGACTTCGGATGACGACGTAGTCCTTGCGGAGATTAAGACTGCACTCAAGTATTTTGGCCGTCCAAACGTACAAAAGCAAAGGAGAGCCGCCCATATACTTCTGCGGTACGAGCCTACTTATACTACGTTCTCAGTTACGGACGACATCCCGATCCCATTCGACGAACACCACCTTACGGCTCTTATCTTCTCCAGCTTCAAGACCCTCAGACAAATTGGTTTCGAAACTTCTGATTCAGAGTAAGACGCAGAGACAGTGGTCGAGGTAGTTGCCGAACCAATGAGAGAGTTTGTTGCGGAGATTGAAGAGGTCAACGAGGCTCTAAACTCGGCTTTTGAGGCAGCCGGTCTTAACCAGCCTGACTCACCGTCCACTTCGAGTCGGGCGGAGTTTTCCTTCGGAGATATTTTTATAGATTTGGGAGATCTACCCGGCGATTTTCTTGAAGGCATGGCTGCAGAAAATCTAATGCAGATGGCGCGAAAGAGAAATGCCGCGCGACGGAAAGCAAAGGCCAGCCATTCTGGGCTTGCCCCAATTGAATCTTCATAACCCGTTATGGTAAAAGAGAGGGCTCAAGTTGTTTCGGTCGAGTCGAATAAGGTGGCCGAACAGCAGATCCAGAAGAAAGGCCGATTCAAGAAGAGCGGGGCGAAAAATACCGCCGAGGGAGAGGCTGGCTCAAAGGAGAGCCCTGCTGACAAACGGCCTCGTCTAGAGGAATCGGATGTGGTTGTTCCTTTCGTTATTCAACCGAAGATCACAAACACGCCGATCTCTTCTGACGTGTCTGCCTTGAAGGATCCAGCTGTAGCATTGAGCTTGGCCGCCTTAACTTCGTTGCCGGCTGACAAGGCCACCTTTCGAGCAGAGCTGGATTTGGTAGCTATAGCGTTAGCTGCCCAGTCGACCCTTCTAGTATGTGACTTGATCTTTTTTACTCCTTGTTTGGTTTGGTTTGCATACAATATTTCTTGGTATGTGATGATCCTGACTCCTTATTTTGCAGACGGTTGGAAGGATAGCTGAACTAGGCCACCGCTAGCACGAAGCCATTGAAAGAATTGGCTGCCTGAAGTCGGAAGCTGAAGGTGAGAGAAGCAGGGCCGAGTTCGAGGCGATGAGAGCCGCGATGGAAAGTGCTCGAGCCGAAGCTGAGAAGGAGAGGGCTCAGACTGCTGACCGGCTCAGATTTGATGCTGAGGAGATGGCCAACGCGAGCGAGGAATCGCTCAAGTTAGCCAAGAAGGCGCTTGCTAAGGTGGAGGCCGAGTTGGAAGAGTTGAGGAAGGCCAAGGAAAAAGCCGACTCTGAGGCTTCTGCGGTGCTTGAGGCTGGAAAGAGCGCCGCCTTTAAGGACTACGTAGAAGAAGTCCCCAAATTCGAGAATCGGGGATTCAAACATAGGTGGCTCAAAGCCCTTGCTGCCACTGGAATTACATTGGCCATGCCAATTCCATATGAGCAAGTGGACGTTGATCCACTTGAGTCTGATCCCGAGGATTGATTTGGGAGACACTAGTTTTATTAAGTATTTTCAATTTCAATGTATGTTTTTGTCTAGTAGATTTTCATCATTTTTGGATTTTCATATGTAAAATGTCCGCTATTAGCGCCCAATTTATTAATGAAAATTTAATATTGTACTCAAGTTACTGCTTGTATTGTTTGTTGTATGAGTACGTAATTAGGAGAATCCGCAATTAGAACAAAATGTCATGATTACGTGAGACGGCAAACTTAGAAGCCGATTAAATTTATGGATCTGATTTAATCAACAAAATGA